CAACATCATGCAGCTCTCCTACTCAATTTTGTTCTCTCTGGCTGCTATCGCCACCACGTCCCCGGTGCCAGCACCCGCTGCGTGCTGTGACCCGAAGATCTTTACTGCCTGCAACTGGTTGTGCGCCAATAGCTGCAGGGGCTCAGGCTCATTCATCGACCAAGGCTGCATTGCGGCGTGCGCTGCGGGTTGCTGTAAGTTCTTAGCGCTCTATATATATATGAGAAGTGCGCATTGCTAACGAGGGAAATGCTGATATGTTAGGCGAGGAGGGGGTCATGTGCTAGGCCACTCTAGAGATACTCGGCGTTGATACTGGTGGCAAAACAGGAGGAATTAGCCCGTCTTGTATCGCAAACAGAAATCCGAGTCAGGCACTCGAAGTAAAATATACCCGTACTAAGGTGGCGCGAGGTGGACGAGCACCGGCACGGCGGCTCGGAGAGGTCCGAACCCGGCCCCACGGTTCGGTGACGCATGTGCATTTGGGCTTCCTGTATATAAGGTTCCTACACCACCTCTTTGAGACCATCAAGCTATACCTTCCGTTGAGGTGGGGCAGGGCGGATAGGAGCCAATCCGATGGCTCGGAGCGGGGAGGAGCCCCGCCCGGTGGCTCGGATTTGGTATAAGAGCCTTCGACCCCCCCCTTTTTTTCTTTTGAGCTTTTGTTCTAGAGGACAATACACACTCCTTCAGTACGATCCTAGACTTCTTGTTCATTGATATAGCCCCTTGGGGGCTCTAATACAGGCTCTTGATCTCGATTCCCTCATTGGCCCGATTGTACGGCTTGTATGTGAGCCCGGGACTGTAGCTTCGGCTCTAAGGATGTGACCTTGATACCGAATACCCTCACTCCGAGACCTGTGACATTGATGAGCCCTCCCGGGCTCGTCTCTAGACTTATCGACCTGAGGTTTGGGCAGATTGTTGATCAGCCTATGGGCATTCTGAATCCCGAGTTTCGAAGCTGAGTCCCTCTCGGTTCTCTTATTCCTTGAGGTTGAGATCACGAGTTTGGGAGTAAGCTCGTTCACGAGCTTCCTCCCTGGGTTGAGGATTCGAGCTGCCCTGTCGGGCTCAGAATCCTGATGCTGGGTTCCCCTGCATCACCTCACCGTGATTATTTGGCCCAGAATTTCGGGTCTTAGCTGTGAGTACTCTGATTATATCTCTTTTGTGGGCCCGATTGTACGGCCGATATGTGAGCCTGGGAGCTCGGTTCAGTCCCTTGAATGTGATTTTGACCTTTGAATGCCCTCAGTCCGCAAACCGGGACTTCGACAAGCTCTCCTGGGCGCGCGCGCTCTTCTACCTATCGACACGAGACTCGGACAAGTTATTGACCATCCGGGAGCCAGGAGTTTCGAAATTCTACCTCTTTCAGTTCAACTCATCTGAGACGACCACCTCACGAGGTAGGAGCAAGCTTGTTCTTCCCCTAACATTTGGGGGGGCACAACCAAGAAGGGCATTGCCATGTACACAGAACTGAAGGAAAGATACATGCATGAACGTAAAAGAGCCATGACGACTAGAGTAGTGACAATGTTCATAGCGTATCATCGTTCATAATCGTTACTACCTTGCGAAGAGGTACGAGTCCTTTTCTTTTCCCGCCCCATTTGCTCGTGCTCATCTCACCCGTAGACATCGACACAAATCCATAACCACCTCCCCCATAACCCTTTGATAAATGCCATCGCTTCCGAGACTCTTGTCTATCCCGAACCCAATACAGATATCACGCTCCATTGCTCATGTCTCACCCAGGCCCAGTATGTCTCCCCACGGGTTCATCACCTCACGACTCCTTCGTTCCCAACGAGCCGTCCGTCACATCATCACACAAGACCTCGGATCGAGCAGGCGACGAATCGAGTCCCGCTCGCCCACGATCATACTATACGCCGTTTGGACATTCTCCGTCGCATCCCCACCCCACCCAGCTCGGGCGCAAGTGTCTGGTAAGCCACGTATATCCCCACAAAACCCCATACGGCGGTACAGTGGAACGTCGGTTCCCATCGCGTCACTTCAAGCCGCGGCTTCCCAACGCCAGGTGGGCAGGCAACGATACGACACCCCAGAGCCTCAAAGGCTTTGACATACATGTTGGCGCCCTCGGCCATCTTCTCGTCAGTCATCAGCTGGGAAGCTAGCGTAAAATGTATCATCGCGATATGAAAACAACCGCAGCTGGCAGGCACTAGCGGCATCGACGCGAGTTTATCGAGCATCGACTGGGCCTTGGCTGCCCTGGTCGCCCTCGGACCGCTGGTGACGACTTCCGAGAGCCGGTCGTAGATTGCCGACCACTCTACAAGCTGGGCATCCTTCACCCCCTTCCTATGCTCTCACAGGTCGCATCGACACTGGAACCCCCATTTCATCAGGTCCCTTTGCACATCCGCGTGGGACTCCATGAAGCCGGGGCGCCGGTAGGTGAAGAGATCGGTTCCCGCGTCCAAGTCCATCATTGCCCGCACGATCTGCATGTCTCCAATGGAAGAGCGGGAGCAGTTGGAGAGGCAGGAGTGGTTAATTCGGGAGGCCAGGACCCAGATTCCTGAGGTAGTGTGGTTGCTTCCACCTCCGTTCCTGGGATCTTGTGGATTGGATCCGCAGGGTGGAATGAGCGACGACCCTTGGGAAGTCCGTGGAGCACCAAACGCATTCAGCGATACAATCTTCTCCACCAGAAATCTAAGCCAAACGTTAATGCCTCCATTGTATGTTAGGTGGAATAACGGCGGTACTCACGAATCGACCACGGGAAGTCCACCTGCGTCCGACGCGGGAGCCTTGGAGTAGTCGCCGCAATGCAGCTTCAAAAACTCGCTCGACGCCTTCGGATTGTGGGCCAATTGCTGCACAATTTGCGTGACAAGAAGCGCCTGCCCACCTACAACAGTCTTCTTGGTGCTCAAATTCATTAGCACGTTCAGCCCCTCGGCAGAATCCTCCTCCACAAATGAATATGCAAATGCCTTCTCGCAAATCAGGAGCTCTCCCGCGGCAACCTTTCGGGTGATGAAGAGCCCCTGGCCCTTCCCAGGTGAGTCGCGCATCTCGCAGGGCCCATGAAAGGTGGCGCAGTCGATGAGGGGGGGTGTCTTCCCTGCTTGCTTGTACATCTCATTGAAATTGTACTCGCCCGTATTCTGCTCGTGCAGTCTGGCCCTTGCGCGACCTAATTCCGCGCTCGCATCACTGTTCGTCGGGTTCGAGAGCAAGAGTCCATCCAACCGCTCGATGCACTTCGAGAAGTTACCCAGCTTGTAGAGGGCAGAGGCTTCACGGACGAGGCTTCTCTCAAATAGCTTCGCGGTATCAGCGCATTGGGTGGCATCCGAGAGGGCCTTCTCTGGACGACCGAGTCGGAGGTTCGCGATCGAGCGGTTGAGGTAGGCCGGTTTCGCCTCGTCAGGAGTCGTTGCTACCCTGATGGCGTAAGATTAACTAGACGGAAGGCGATTAGCCGAATGACAGCACCTCCTGTGACACACCCGCAACGCCCCCTCTAGCTTGCGTTCGAGGTGTAGGATAAAGCAATGGGTGAAAACTCACAAGCGCTCTGCCTCCACCCAGCCCTGCTTCTTCACAGCTTCGTTTCCCCGGGCCCACATGATATTGCTGTCATTATTCGGAAAGCCCACAGGTGTCCTCCATTCCTCCGGCACATGCTCATCCGAATTGTCAAGCCATACCACGTCGGTGACATGGTCAACCCTGAGGTAGTACGCTCCATTCGTCTCGCACTTGAGGAAGGGCTCCTTCACGATGCAGCCACCTCCCGGTTGAAGTATCCCCCGAGCGGGCACCACCGACTCGCTCGGCTGGTGGTAAAGCTGGAGCAGCAAGGCGGTCCCCTTCCCGTCTTCGACGATGGCCGTCACGTCCGCCCCGTCGCGCTGCGGCGACGTGAGGATGTGGAGCAACATCCCAGTCCCGCGGTGATGCGTCTCGAGTCTCATGTCGGAAATCATGATGGGTCGAAGGTCGTTTCTCGTGAGGACGCAGGGGGGGTACGGGACTTGTACCAGCGAAATGGCGACTACGTCCTTCGTCGAGCCGGGGCCGGGCTTTTCCAAGTTCGTCAAGAAGTCCGAAACCAGCCTGTGGACGGGAGGATGGTCGTGGATGATTTCGCCCTTCCTTTTACTTGCTCGCTTCGCGCTGGCAAGCGCGCTCTTCATCAAAGTGGGGTAGGGGTCCTCCCGGGACACATCTTTGATGTCCATGGCGAGAAGGTGGTGGTACGGAGAGTGATAGGATGGACTTTCAACGGACGTTTTGAGATGGGACATCGGAACGCTGTGTCGATGCCTTTCGTGATGCTTTTGGAATGGGAATCTAGAAAGGTTTTGTTCAGGATTACATCAAGACATGCTTGGGTGTGAGGGAGAGGCGCGCGTGCCTGGAGAGTCGCATGAGTGAGATCCGTCCATGTGGCAGGACTACGCTGGTGGCACTTGCCTTGTTTTCTAATATGCGACGGGATGTAGGAGGCCAGAGGGCGCCGCCTTCTGCTTGACGCGTCCTGTACACGTGCGGTTCATTCGCGCCTTCCTCCACTGCGTCCAAGTTACTTCAACTACAACAAACTATAGCCATCTCCGCGTCCCGTTTGCGGTGCTCCGTACGCGTTGGACTCGCGCGTACCTTCCTCCATTTAGCCTGATCCATCTCAGCTATGGCACGTCGTTCTGGCTTGTGAATATCATGATTGATACTTGAGAGTACTTCTGGCAGGCGTCCCGGGTATGACGAGATTGGGTTACGATCTGCTGCGGCTCGCGCCTCGTCCGGAAGTTGCCGTGTGGTTTGGGGCCCCGACCACCAAACAACCGATGCCATTTTGTGTTGTGGATATGGGTATTAGAGAGGAGATGACGGGCGAGGATCGCAGCTGTGGAAAGAGGGCAAAGTTGCTCCAGGACCACCATGGCAATAGCTGTTAGCCGCGAATAGCTCCCCGCACTTTCAACAAATTAGGGCGCATGGTTTAGTGGTATAATTCCTCTTTAGCATCTAATTTAGAGGCGGTCCCTGGTTCGATTCCTGGTGTGTCCATCTTTTTGACTTGTGTCCATCTTTTTGACTTTTTGTCCATCGTGACGCCAAACAGGATTCATTTTGTGGATACTCTGCGTTTACACTTTTGCCCTCCATCACACGCCGGGAAGAACTGCGTGGCGGGCCAGACAAGCGAGAGGCACATAACCAGCATTTACTATGGGTACATATACGTGTATATCATAGGCAGGTGGGCATGCCCGGACTCTCATGATCTCGTCGTCCTATAAGTCTGCGGCTCGCAGCTCCCAAAGGGCAGGTTTATGACTTCTCCAGCCCGTTTCTCAGGCTCCCCACCCTCTAAGGATAGGCATAGCACATGCATACCCTCGGGCCTAAACTGCATAAACCCTCACCCTCTGTCTCTAATACCCCCTACTACATTCTCCCCTTTCGCCCTCCCTCTTACCAATTCCTCTTCCCAACGTCCACTCGAACTACCTTCTTTCCTCCTCGAGTACGAAGTATCCTCAGCAGACTTTCACCAAGATTTACGTGTACCCTAGCCGGCAATGCATCGTAGCACAGGTATGATGCAACTGCCGCGCAGTCCTGGATTGGATCCGGGGACCTTCAACAATATACCCGCTACATCGTTGAACCTGTCCTATGGGCTTTAGTTTTGTTATGGAGTATGACCCTTATGAGGCTTTTGATTTTTACCTCCCGTTTTAGCTGGGGAACTCGCCTCCGAGATCCCAATGTGGCCCCGAACAGTGAGGATGAGAGTCGGGGAGTAGTATAGAAAATATTCACTTTATGAGTAAACCACTGTATCGGTGAGATATGCCGCCACGTAGTCGAAACGCTTGTAAGCATGTATGCCTGGTTCGATGCCAACGCCTCTAATCCAATACCCCTTGCCGGGGCCCGTAACGCCGGCTGTCCTTCATACCAAAGAAATAAGAAAGAAACATATCTACATGAGGAGATAGTGAGCGCCAAAATAGAACCGTCCCAAAAGATCCAATCACCGTGTCTCCCGAATTCCCACAGTACCCTACCCCAAACGCTCGAGCTCCTGCATCCCAGCTTCAGATATAGACCTTTCTCCGATACCCACCGCCGCCATAAACCTAAATGAAATGAGAACGGAGTCATAACAGCCTTCCCGGTCAGGTGATACGATTCGGGACTCCTATGTCCGTCCTTGCATCCTGCATATTCCTTGTATGCTCCACGATGCCATATGCACCATACACTGAAGCGCCGGCACGAAACTGCGGGGCAGAAACCCGAGGGAATTTGAGCTTATCCGCCTTAACAAAGCCGGGATTGTCGAAGGCTTTATCCCTCCACGCCTTATCTGCACCTTTCAGTTTTTTGTGTTTGGCGTCAAAGTCGGTCTTGATGCCTTTCGCCCATGCTGACATTTGCGCCTCGATCCTGGCCAGCTCCTGGTCGATCCAATAAGCATAGAGGGCCCTGAGCGAGGCTGTCTCACCCGGCGGCGCCAGGGGCTCGTCCGTAGGCCTCGATCCCCAGGTATACCTGTTGTCGAACGTGTGGCAGACCAGGTCGATCCAGTTGGAAACCCTCATAAATTTGTTCCAGACTAGCTCGTCAGTGGCGCCTGGTCCTTTGAACTTGAGATACTCAAACATCAAGGGGCCCTAGAATATTGCAGTCACTCGTTAGCCAATGCACATGAGCTGCAAGGAATGTGCATAAGTTTAACTATAGTCCGAGGGACCTGGTTTGGACTTACCCGGCGTATGGTTGCCCTATCCGCCGTGATGGTGGTGGTGGTAACCTTCCCATTTTTACCTCTCATGCTTCTCAGTGATTCGCCTCCGAATAAAGTCCCCTTGGGGCCATTGATAGCATCGTGAGTCAAAGTGAGCTCCCTCAACCCACGACTTGCGACAAAAGGTCGGAACGTTATGGGTCTATTGTCGCCTCTCCCAAATCCGTATGTCATGGCATTGAAGACAGTATCGCCGGTGTTGTCCGTTCCCAAAACATCGCCGCTGATGAGCATGAAGGGGGTGTTGGTGCGAAATCCAAGAAGCACCTGCTGCACCCACGTCTCGCTGGGCCTGGTGTAACTCGATCCCGTCTTCACAGCTCCCCCTTCAGCGAGCCAGGAGAAAAACCTCCTCAGGGTCTGCGCTTCGTAGACATGTTCCGTTTGATATTTCTCCCCATTCAGGGATGATTTTCTCACATCCACCTTCTCAACCTCGGTAGAGCAAGAGATTGCATCATGGTGGACCTTGTAATACTTATCGATTCCGGCCTTTCCTTTGGCGTCTGCGCATTGGTGATAGGTCCCAAACCTTAGATCATCCGAGCTGCCATCCGACCAGTTAATTTGAACAATCTTAGCCTTGGTAGAACGCTTGGAAAGACTGGGAGTGTCAAACATGGACGCGAAGTCTGATCTTGCACCGAGTCCGCTCCCCGAACATGATTCGTCTGAGATGGTGAGCTCCGAAAAGTCGACCACCAGGTCGTCATCCGTGAGGGGGGGTTCCTCTAGCATGCAGGATCTGCCAGGACCATCTTGATCGCCCCTTCCATTGCCTGGCGGCGCACGGGCATACATAAGGCCGTATTCGGACAGCCCACCCTTCCCGCGGGGTCCGACCTTCGGCTTGGTGGGGCGGCAAAGCTCGCAACCGGCATCCGTTGGGCCCGGTTCACCGGATGAAGTGGTCGAGGTGGACTTAGGAGGCTCCTTGGTTGTCTTCGATTTGTTTTTCTCGTCGTTCTCTCTCCTGGCTCTCTCCTCGAGACCCTCTAAGCCGTTATCCCTGTCGTTCTTTGGTGGCTGGTCCTTCGAGGCCTCGGGGAGGGCGCGGCACTGGACTCTCTCTCCATCTTCCTTGTCACCCTTGCCCCCCTTGGCGCGTCCGCTGAGTGACCTCTTCTCTTCCTTGCACCCATCTCCCGACGCATAACTATCCTCAACCCCGAGCAAGCTGTTGAAGGCCTTCCCAAAATCAAGCTTCCCAAAGTCTGCCTGAGGGCACATCTTTGACGTGAGAGTTTGGAAGGTCTTCTCGCTCCCACCGTTCTGGTAGGTTGTTTTGGCTGCCTTGACCGCCGCTGTGGATGCTCTTCTCGCAGCCGTTAGAGCGGCACCACCCGGGAGAGCAGAAATAGCCAGGTCCGCACCCTGCAGAAGCGAAAGGATTTCTCGTTAATTCATTTCGTCCGCTATTAATTGCCAAAGGTGAGTGCGGTGTGGATAACATACCAGCTCCAGTACTCCCGCAAACAGGGAGCAAGCAATGAAAAGAATGGGTCCGATCAACTTCATCGCTTCCGCAATCCCCTCCAACACTACATCGAGAACGAGGCCGGGAAGCGCTAGGTCGCACTCGCACTTCCCCATATCGTAGTAACGTCCTTCGGAATCCCGGAAGCTGTAGAAGAAGTTGTCGTCAAATCGCGGATTTCCGGTCTTTGGCGTAGACCCAACGCACGCGGCTACGTTGTCTTCCTCAAACCCCTCCTGGGTCTCGCAGTATCGAGCACACTTGGGCTGCTCCTGTCCGGTCGAGGCATCCGGCCAAAGGGGGTGATATACACGGCATTCGCCATTCTGCTCCTGGAAGGCGTTGTTCTGTTCGTCACTGGTCTTGTCCCACGGATCCTGGCACTTGATGAGCATGTTGGGCGTCGGCGCGTCTATTCCATCGCAGGTTGGGCAGTAAGACCCAGACATAGGTCCAATGCCGCATCCATCCTCATCGCGCTTTTGGAAGCCGTTGGCGGAGGACCTGCTGTCGGAACTATCCAAGGTTAGGGCGGGGTCGAGAGCGTGGGATCCCGGGAGAAGAGCAAGATAAAGGGGAATGGCATTCCACCACATCGTGGATACAGTGGTCAAGGTATTTTTAAAGGGTGAAGGTCATGGTTCGCATGATCCCTTTTGCGGAGATATCAAGGACAGACTCGCAGTCTTATATGTTCGTCTCTACGAAAGACCGTGCTGGGTGCTCTCTGATGTACAAGCGGAGCGCGGCTATGGTAATGCGCGCCCAACAATACTATCAATACTACAGTTAGCCTTCGGGGATTTCTGCCTTGCTCTCTCCCATAGAGCGCGACAAGAATAGCCTAAGATCTGATAGGCTTCCCTTCCTGTTGTTGGCCCTGGGGATCGTCTCCATGCGTGTGAGGCTACCAGGATCCTACTGCTGGGCGCGAACAAGCCATTCTTGAGTTTCAATTGGCCAAGAAAGGCGCGCTTAGAGGCTACCATACTACTCTCAGGATGGCTTTCGACCGGCGAGGAAACCTGGTCGCGCGGGATGTAAGAATGTATGTAGCGGGTCTGCTGGTTCTGGGACATGGGGATTGTATCTAACATGAAGCCGAAGCGCACCAAAAATCCGTTCCTCCCTATCCTGATAAATTTCCCCTAAATTCCAACAGGTTGAAGGTCCCTACTAGAGCGGATGGAACGTTGGGAACTCGGGCGTATTGGGGGTGATGCTAGGCTTGAAGTTTGGTCCAAGGGCGGGCGTATTGAGCGCCGATGTTGGCTCGAAGTTTGGTTCAAGGATGTGGTCCCGGCCGTGCTCGGTGGCTGAGGCGGTTAGGAGTTAGAATATGCCACTTTGCCAGCGGCTAGCAACGACCCCGCTGCGACATCCGCCCACATGGGCCAGGCGCGATAAAATTGCCGCTGGCAGGCCTGGGGGGACTTGTTTCAGATCAAAACGAGCCACCCCACATACGGCCTGTGGGGTGACCCAAGGCAGATCCCGCAGATGCGGTTCGCGTTTAATCAAGGGAGCTATTCCGTTTTTTTTTTTT